TCTTGTTCATATGGTACCTCTTGAAATGGTTGAACATTAACCATTTCCTTTTGGTACAATGACTCTGTGTATTTCTTCCATCTTTTCTTGATGCATTCTGCATCATTCAGGAATTTGCCCAGAGAATCTTTCAATAACGAAAGTCGAGGCTCCTTTCTCTTCATTTAGTGGAGAGCATTTGTGATTTTAATTTCATAAATGTAAATCCAATGGTAGGGACTCCCATAGAGGCCTTTGCTGATTGGGTATCCTCCCAGCCTATATGTTTGTAAATATGTAGGAGTTTTGGTGTGGCGCTTCGGGTTAATGCCCTGAAGTGTAGGGCATTGAACTGCAAGAGTGGTAGTTCAGGTTCACCCCGCTGCTCCTCGGAAACTCTATGCAGGGTCACTATGAGTCAGAACCAACTTGAGGACACTTAACAACATCAACGCATATATTCTGATCATGTCTGAAGTTCTCCTACAATGAAAGTTTTCAGGAACCAAAGGAGCCTTGGTGGCACAGTGCATTGGGCTGCTCAGCACCAGTCAGCTGTTCAAATTCACTAGCCATGCACCTTGGTTGTGAGAAGGGTGAGACTTTCTGTTCCCGTAAATGTTTACAGTCTCAGAAACCCTTTATGTAGTCGCTGTGAGTCAGAATCAACTCAGTGACAATGGGTTTGCTTTGGGTGGGAGATAGCATGGTTTTGGAAAGTCTGACGTAATGTACACTCCGGCTACAGGAGTTGTTATAAGTTGTTATAAGTATAGAGTGTATTACAGTATAGAGTGAGAAATCATGTCAGATGATGTGATACGGTCTGAAAGCATGAAACTGTAGCTAGTAGGAGCCCTTTACAACTATTTACATTTGAAAATCATCTTTCAAAACTGCTATGCCATTCATTCAACATTTTGTACTGCCTCCTCTGAAGACCGCCTTGAACTGCATGCAGTAAGTGTTTCATTCCTGGTTGTTTTCTTTCAGCTCCTGAGAACCATGTCTGTGCCCAAAGGTCAGGTTCTGGATAAGACCCTGGATGAGGAAGGGCTTGGAAGTGGAGACTGTGGCGATGATGAAGATGAGTGTATTGGAGGCTCTGGAGATGGGGTGATGAAAGTCAAGAACCAGCTCCGCTTCCTTGCAGGTAATTGTGCTGCCTACAATCTGGGCTACAAATGTCAATGTTCAGGAATTAACACTCAGTTGACAATGTGCTCTATTACTTCCCTAAAATCCTTGTAAACACACAATGTCATCAACACTTTCAGGCAAGACTATATCCTAGAAAAAGGACATTTTCAGTCATGCTTTTCTTTTCACCTTCTTCATTGTCTAAAATCAGTTGGTTGCAAATTTCCCATAGGAGACTTCCTTGGGTCCTCTCAGAAAATCGTGAGAAGGTAAGGAAAAGTCAATGATGGGATCAATTTTGAAGGAAGACCCATTGGCTAACCCTCTTCATCTTTCATCATGTTTAGTTTGTTTTCTCAGGAATAGGAGCAGTCAGACATATATAGACTGTGGCATGTAACTGCAAAGCTACACAAAAATAACAACAGGAAATAGTAATTAAAAGGGTTGCTGGGGTCAAGACGGCCAAGAAAAGAAAAAAAGAAAAAGAAATCCCCTCACATTTGTATTACATATCACAGTTTCCAAGAACCTCTGGTGATGAGGCAATTAAAGTGCTAGGCTACTAACTGAAAGGTCGGCAGTGTAAACCCACCCAAAGTTCCAGAGGAGGAAGACACGGCAGTCATTTTAATAAGGATTTATGGAAACTGACCTGGAACCCCTATTGGGCAGTTCTAGTCTGTACTACAAGGAGCTCTGGTAGCATAGTGGTTACGAGTCAGGTTGCTGACCTCAGGGTCAGCATTTCGAAACTACCAGCCATTCCACAGGAGAAAGAGGAGGCTTTCTGCTCCCATAAAGATTTACAGCCTCAGAAACCCTGTACAGGGTTGCTATGAGTGGGAACTGACTCCACGGCACATAACCACCACCACATTGTACTACAGGGTCAACATCAGTGAGAATCAACTCAATGGCCGTGGCTTCAGGTGCCACAATTTACAAAATACTTTCATATCGATGGTGTTCTTGTTAGTTGCCTTCAATTTGGCTTGATTCATGGTGACTCATTTCACAGTGTGAAATGTTGTCCTCTTGCTTCGGCACTACCTTCTTACATAATCATTGGCACTTTGTATTCTGTTGTCACAGCTGTTCTAAGAGGGGGCTTCAAAAACTTCGTGGAACAATGGAATTGAAAGAGAATGGAATTTTTCCACAAACTTTTGAAGCCCCCCCCCCCTTGTAAAGTGCTTTTCAACTTAGGGAGCTCATCACCCTGCACTCTAGGAGACAATAGTCTGTTGTCATCGATAGGGTTTTCCTTGGCTAACTTTCAGAAGTCTGAAGGAACTTCAGAAAGTTCATGGAAAAATGGAATTAAAAGTTTGTGGATTCCCTCCACCCCTCAATGAACTTTTAGAAGCTCCTTCATCGATTGCTAGGCCTTTCTTCCTAGTTTTTCTTGACCTAGGAGCTCCAATGAAACTTGTCCACCATGGTGACCATACTGGTATTGAAATCGCAGTGGCATTGCTTCCAGCAGCGTAGCAACATACAAGGCATCACAGTACAACAAATCGACAGGTGTTCTTCTTTTCATTTGACAGATAAGAAATCTGGGACTCAGAGAAGAAGTAAGATGTGTCTAAAAAGGAGAAAATCCTGGAAATCCATCTCAGGTCTTGAGACTTTTAAATGCCATGTTCTTCCATGTGTGGTGCATACATAGCCTTCTTGAAACTCTGTCCACAGCCTATGGGGTCCTGTTGTTATTGTTAAGTGCCATCAAGTCAGTTCTGACCCACTGTGACCCGGTAGAGGGTTTCCAAGGAGTGACTGGTGAGTTTGAACCACCAACCTTGCAGTTCAAACCGACTTTGCAGTCTAGCACATTAACCCACAGCGCCACACCATGCTCTTAGTTCTCTTGCAGCCCGTTCCTTCTCTAACTCTTCTTCCTGATCCTACCCTGAAACCGGGTGTTATGCAAAGGACTCTTCTTGAACCTGTCTTTTCTTCTGAGAGATGACAGACTTTGTTGAACATTTTATTTTGTTGTTGTTGTTGTTGTTGAGAATACCCACAGCAGAACACAGTTCAGAGACACTGATGAGATTCTCGGAGTTGTGCAGCTATTCTGACCCTCCTTTTCTGAGCTGTTCCTCCCCCATGAGCGTAAACTTGCTGACCCTAAGGTCCCTATCTAATCTTTTGAGCTGCTGTTACCAATTTGATCTCATATTTGTTGTGTTGTTAGGTGCCATCGAGTCGGTACCTACTCATAATGACCTTATGCACACCAGAACGAAACACTGCCCAATCCTGGGCCAACCTCACTACTGTTGCCGTGCTTGAGTCCATCGATGCTGCCACTTGGCCAATCCATCTCGTTGGGGGTCTTCCTCTCTTTCTGTGACCCTCCACCTTACCAAACATGATACCCTTCTCCAGCGACTGGTCCCTCCTGACAATATGTCCGAAGTATGAAAGACAAAGTTTGCCCATCCTGGCCTCCAAGGACCACTCTGGCTGCACTTCTTCCAAAACAGATCTATTGGTTCTTTTGGCAGCCCATGCCACTTTCAATATTCTCCTCCAACTCCATAACTAAAGGGCATCAATTCTTCTACGGTCTTCCTTATTCACTGTCCAGCTTTTACATGCATATGTGTGAGGCGCACCTTAGTCTTCAAGCTGACATCTTTGCTCTTCAACTCTTTAAAAAGGTCTTCTTGTGCAGCAGATCTGCCCAATGCTACGTCGTTTAATTTCTTGACTGCTGCTTCCATGAGTGTTGACAGTTGATCCAGTAAGAATGAAGTCCTTGAAACTTCAATCTTTTCTCTGTTGATAAGAATGATCCTATATAGATGGTTCTAAAAAGAACAGAAGGCAGACTTTTTTTTTTTTTTTTTAAACTAGTTTGACTAAAGAGTTGTTTGGTTTTAACACGGCTATAGGGGATACTTTTGGTTTAAGGTTTAAAGATGATGTCAGGGCAGTAGTTTCTGTGGTTCCTCAAGCCTCCATGACTCCAGAAGGTTTGAATTCTAACAGGACTTGAAATTCTGTTCTTTGTTTTCCTTTCTTTGATCTGATTTCTTCTATAGAATCTTTGATCAACAGGAGCACACAAATCTTATTCATTCTAACTTTCAACTATTGTGTAGTGATATTATAGAGAGAATTGTATAGAGATTACCTCCAGCTAGCTTTGACTGCTCTCCTGCGCTATAATCCCATATCTCTAGTTACTAACTAGTCAGCCCTGGCAACACAGTAGATTATAAACTGGGCTGCTAACCACAAGATCAGCAGTTCGAATCTACCAGTTGCTCTGTGGGAGGAAAATGAGGTTTTCTGCTTCAGTAAAGATTTACAGCCTCGGAAACACTATAGAGGGTCACTATGAGTCAGAACTGACTCCATGGCACACAACCACCACCACCATTTCCATCTGGCTCAGCCTTCCATTATCCCAAACTCAACGTGTCACAAATCAAAATGATCAACTGACCATCCCAAACTGGCTTCTCCCTAAACAGATTATTTTTCTCATCATTCCTCCAGTCACTGAGCCTTCACTGAGTCTCTTCTCCCTTGACCTTCATATGCAGTCGTACCCAATTGATTCTTCTTTGGTAAACTTTTCTGCATGGATCTCTGCTTCTTTTCTCTTCCTATTACAGTCAAATCCTAAGTGGTCTCCAGGCTAGTAGGCTGTTGTTGTTGTTAAGTCAGATTTGACCCATAGCAACCCTGTTAAGGGTTTCCAAGGAGCTACTGGTGAGCTTGAACTGCAAAACTTGCAGTTCAAGTCGACTTTGCAGTCCAGTGCTGAGGCAGGAGCATTTGTTGAGCCTTAGATAGCAGATTAGAGAACAAAGAACCTCAGCAGAAAATTCCATCAGGTTCATCTTGCACAGCTTCCAGGTTAATCTTCCCAAAGCATCTCACATCTTTCTCTAGGTCAGATAGCTTCACCCTGTCCCTATTGTCTTGAGGCTAATACTTGTGGTGTTTAGCTGAGTTCTACAGGCCTTCTGGTCTTCCCTAATCTGCCATTCAAACTTCATCCCCCCCCCAGTGGCCCCCTTCCCCACCAGGAACCCTCTATTTGCAAGAGCAACCTCTGCACCATGAATACATAACTTACTGTTCTTGTTTCTATCTTTGTAACATGGTTGTAGTTAAGTATCATGGAGTTGGTACCGACTCATAGAGGCCCTACGAACAGCAGAATGAAACACTGCCCAGTCCTGTGCCATTCTCACAATCCTTGTTATGCCTGAGCCTGATACTGCGGCCACTGAGCCAATCCATCTCATTGGGAATCTCCCTCTTTTTTGCTGTCTCTCCACTATATCAAACATGATGTCCTCCAGGGACTGGTCCCTCCTAATGTCATGTCTGAAGTATGAGAGATGATGTCTTGCCATCCTGGCTTCTAAGGAGCATTCAGGCTGTACTCCTTCCAAAACAGATTTATGTGTTCTTCTGGCAGTCCATGTACTTTTAAAAATTCTTCTCCAACACGAGAATTCAATGCATCCAAATCTTCAGGCTTCCTTATTCATTGTCCAACTTTCACATGCATATGAAGCTATTGAAAACACCATGGCATTGGTCAGGTGCTCCTTAGTCCTCAAACCTCATAACATGGCCTATGTTTGTTTCACATAGTGACCTCTCTTTCCTTCCTTCTTAAGTTATCTCTATCCCTCAAGGTCCAATTTAATTGAAAAGAAGATCGATTTTGAAGTCGAGCAAGCCTGTATTCGAATTCTGACTCAACTCTGATAAGCTCACATGACCTAGGACATGGTTTTAGCCTCCTGTGTTTCCACTTCTCACTTGTCAGATGGAGCTCATAACCCCAACTTCATAGGTCTATTGCAAGAGTCAGTGTAGAGGACAAGTTTGTAAAATACGCAGCCCAGTGTCTTACACATCCTCTGAATTGCTGTAACACATTCTACCAATGCTTTCCAAAAATAGTCTGCAGTGGCTCCCAAGTTCCATTCCTAGGGCAAACATGAGAAATCAGAGCTTGGTATCCTCTAACAA